AAACATAACAATGATCAAATTTAAGCACGCGGTCCCATACGCTTTGTCATCACATTGCCCAAGTACCGAACACAGCGTATAATCTGTAAACCACTGTTATTCCATGTACTGATAAAGTATCCAGTATAACTTGCATATACGAACATATATTTAAGCTGGTTTGTAGACACAGTTGCGGGATATCGTCTAAATTGACCGAGTGACAATTGTCTTATCTAGCAAACTCGCAAATAATTGTTAGCCCTTACCTTCACGTTTCTTTGTGAGAAGCGTAATACATATTATCAATTTGACTTGAAGAAAGAGTTCATATAAATATATAATAGTTATGACTTACTAAAGAAAATTGAATTATCCTCCCTATACATAACATTCTTCACGATAATTAGGTATGCTGCTATTAATTGACTGGTCATCAGTGTGATAAAATGATTACAGCAAAGAAATAGTGGATTTAATTCGCATTTCCTCCAGTGTAATAGCTTTTATTTCCAAAACGATCACTTTTTCAATATAACGAATTCACGCTTGCAAAAAAAACCGATACTATGGTTTTACTACTATGTGCTCAAAGGTGATTTGTTAATATGACTGTGCATTAAAATTAAGCTGACTGTATTTCTTTGTTAAAACCCATATTGTCTGGACAACCAATATATTAAATTTACTAATACAACCGATCTATATCATAAATTACTGGCACATTTCTATCTTTTCATTAAAAGTCTGCTTGACGTAAATTCCGCGTCACAACATCTAATTCACAGTGTCTCTCAAATGCAAGTACGTGGCCTAACGTATAATGGTATATAGTATTAAAGACTCGTGACGTTAAAAAAAACAATTACAAATAGTGTAATCCGCGAGACTTACGAACAACAGCCTTCTTGCTCGGTTCTTGCAACTCACCACCTACAATATTGAGTACCTTTGTTAATTCTGCAAAAAAACCAACGTTCGGGATATTACCTAAATCTCACAAGTACAAACCGATCATTAATTCATCGAGGACTTGGTAAGCCTGAAAACATTAGATAAAGTCCATCGTTTAATGGTATAATTACAGTAAATCGCAAACCCTATTCTTTGGTCAGTCGCATTCCGTACCTTTTCAAAGTTGTAGATAATGTCTAGTTCGCACACATTCCCAAAGTACTCATCCAGCACTTGAACATAACGATGAATAACCTCCAATACATATAGTTCATTTTCATCCCAATCGACGCCAGCTGCAAAGTATAGACTTGCATATCTGTTCAAAGAAATTGTAGATAATATGAGTTTCATTGCATAAATCCATAACTATTATATTCTTATTCTCGCTTATATGTAAAAATCTTCTCACCTTTTGTATATAACCTTATTCGACGAAGGGATAGAATGCAGAACAATTATTCATGACTGATTTACTATTCGCTCTTCAATTCGATCAACCACTCTAACCAACCTTGTGTTCACCATATTCGAGAACATTACACATAGATCTCTTCCTTCCCAATATTATGGTAGACAAATCAGTAGACAAGTTGGTTTTTTGCTTCTCATTGTAGAATTGAAACCATTTTCGAAGTCGCATTTTACCATGGCGACTGAAGACAAGAAGATAGAGAATCTAAGTTACGGAAAAGAGAGCTTTGTTGACTGATAGTGGGAAAGAGTCGAAGACGAGACAATAAAGAAACCAATACAAACCATTTATTATAATATATTTGTTTAGAAGGATGTTCAGAAAGACATTCCCTCAACAAACAATTGAATGGCTTGTTGTATTACAAATTTTCACTGTGCAGTTCACGTGCAATAAAGTTTGGGAATTTTTTCACGGTGTGTGATCTGCATTTATCTTTTTTCCACATACCCATGTATTCATTTTTTCACCAGACTCAAAAAAGACGATTGTACTCTCAATTACGGTTTATCACCACCGCTACCCCAAAAGCACAGACACATCCGGATACTGAATTGGATTCCGCACTCAAATATTGTATTGATCTCGTTAGGCAGGATAATGATTTAATTTCTTATCGCCATAGCATCGTCACCCTGTACTGAAAACGTGTTTTCCCTTTGTCATTTTGTAGGAAACATGATTATGAGAATTATCTTATATCAGCATTCTATCCCAAAGAAGTCAGGCCCGCTCATGTCGCCATACGAGCATTCAATTTAGAAATCGCAATGGTGAGAGAAAATGTGAGTAATGCTCAAATTGGGAGCATGAGAATGCAGTTCTGGCGGGAGGCCATCGATGGTGTATTCAAGGTAAGATATAACTGTCGCGCGAACCGTGTTTTTTTGCCGCTCTTTTCATTGTTAGCAAGCATTGTTGTCGATTAATTTTTTCTCATTATAAATTGATTTAAATGATGGTAGCTAGCAATTTGTTTGACATTACAATATGTTCAGAGTCAGTTAAGACTTATATTAACATACTGGTTTTTGACATTCAGGGTAATCCGCCAAAACACCCAATTGCTTTGGTTCTTGGCGACGTTC